GTTGCATCGATTAATTGTAAGCTCGATGCGCGGTAGAACGCTTATTATTGGAAGCAACAATATCTCAGTATCTTTTATTGACTGCCATGAAGAGACTGCCTTCGTATAGAAAATCGTATAATAATACATAATAATTTGCGTTTGCTAAACGAGTGCTGATTGTTATTCTCGCGCGAGCTAATTTCAAAAGCGTCGTAATCAAAACGCGTCGTAGATATAACTGGAATTTTAAGCGACACATAGGTAACGGCCAATGCGAGTCTAAGGCAACACGTAGGTAGCCTATACTTGTGATTTATTAAAATGTGAATTCATATTTGAACCTGGAACCTCCCTCCATCCGTGACGAGATTTGGCGTTTTAGCCAAATCGACCACTAAAGCTTAGACTCCGTAGATGCGTTGAGCTGCGGCAATGCGTGCGGAAACGCGTGCGGCAATGCGAGTCGATCAATCAGGAGCTTGCCGTAATCTTCCTGCGTTGAAATTGAAGTCTTTTGATTCGTTGCTGCACACGTTGGCGCAGTTCAACGCGTTCATGGAGTCTTAGCCGAAGGCTGTGATAATATTACTCGCAATAATTGGTATAATACTTAAAGAAACGCTCTCTTACAGCACCGCGTATTATATAAACAATAGAGTTAAAGTACGATCCTTAATAAAACTAAACGGGGTTAGGAAGTAACTCGTTATTTGTAACGAAGTTACAGTTACTTCTTTTTGGTAACTCTAACTTAATTCGTTACTTTCTCTCCATCTATAACTGTAACTTAACTCAGTTACATTTTTTCGATAACCAGTAACTAATTTAATAGTTACATTAATAGTTACTTTATATATTTTTTAAACCTCCACAAATCGCACTAGGCCTTGCCTTTGCGCATAAACGCCTCCCTAGTAGTATAATTTATTGGCTATACATTGGGTAACATTGGATTATGTTGCGAGTGCACTGGCTAATATTTTTTCAATATGACGCCAATATTGGTTATAAAATAAATGCCAATATACAACTGATGTTGCACCTAGATGATTATTTATTATAATATTAGATTGATATTGAAATTGTATTGGTCAAGATTGCACGAAAAAATTGTAATATTGAATATAGAAGAAATGCTAATGTAACGCCAATGTTGCGTGTCAATAATTGTACGGTATTGCGTTTACATTGACGGTACATTAGCCAACATTATCGAATTATGTCCCTCTATCTCTGCCTACTCGAATCTCTACCTACCTACCCGTATTCCGCTGTATAATCCTATCCATTTTCCTATCTACCCGCGTTTCAACTTTTTCTTAATAAACCTAAAAGTCTTTCGTTAAAACCGCGACGCGATTTATAAAAGGTCCGATTTGGGGTTATATGCGCGCGATTTAATAGGGATTTAATACACGGAAAAAACAATGTAGCTGCTGTAGCTAAAACTTAGCAAAATAGGGACAGCTAATATTTTAGTTGTGATAGCTCAATATTTTGCTACTGTGCCTATTGTATTAGGTGCGACAGCAAACGGTTTGCTGTCGTAGCAAAATATTGAGCTATCACAACTAAAAATATTAGCTGTCCCTATTTTGCTAAGTTTTAGCTACAGCAGCTACATTGTTCTTTCCGTGGGGTCTTTTTAATCTTGCACATATGCAAGAATATGTAAAGAAGATAAGAATATAACCCACCCGAATTTTGGCAAATAAGAAGAAATTAACTTATTTCGTACAACATCTTATAATACTTACATACTCCATCAAAATGGCCAATATTGACCACTTGCCTCGTCGTATTCCTTCGTCGGGCCAGATTGGACCTACCATTCGTTGCTCCTGGCCATACAGTCTAGTCATTTCGACCAGAGATCACGAAGGAAGAAAACTCCTTCCATAGGCGGTTTATTGTCGTCACCGACAATATCTCATACGGTCCGAACTAAATGCGAGCGTCGATCGTATCGAAATGCATGACCACGAGAAGTTAATTAAAGAAGAAAGTTATAATAATTAAACAATTTTTCTGTATAAAACTACTCAAATATATTTTTACTTCCGTTATTTATTCGAGAATAGATAATGACTGTTTCTTCGTGACTCAAGCTTTAAATTAAAAATTCAAGTGTATATGTAAATAGAAGAAAAACAATTTACTTCGCGTTATATTTATATTTTTAATTACATTCCGCGGTAAATTTAAATTTATAATCTGGATGAAATTAAACAATTAATAATTTTTTGAGAAACCGATCGCGAAAACCGACCGCGAAAATACGAGAATGCATGTAACTACACCCTCAGAAAGGATTTCTGTTGCCGAGACAAAAATATTCTTGACGCATTTATATTTCTCACAACCTCATTCAGTGTAAAAATAAGATAATATCAAAATAAAATCAATAATTCTTATTCTCCTCTATAGAATTAAATAAAAGATTGGCTTACTATATTGAGACAAGATTTACTTACATA